CACACACACATGCATACACGCACACACGCACACACGCACACACGCACACACGCACACACAGGTTCGCTGAAACACACACTTCTCAGATTTGCAGTGTCTTAGTCATGTTAGTTTACTCTAAGCTTGAGACCTGTCCTCCTGATACCTGCGCTTCGACCTTCGGTCCTAATTGAAAGCGCTCTTGATGGATGGCTGATCGCACTTGCATTATTTCTTCCTCTTCCTTGTCCTGCATTAATTTTCTATTGACGAAGCGGATTATTATTATTATATTTCCCCCCCCCCCCTTCCCCTCCCCCCCGCCCTCCCCACTCCACGTCTGATGTTGTTGTTTTTCGACACTTGTATGAATATTGTTTTTGCAATGACAACAACTGTTATGCGACATTCCTTCGAGTTAGGATGCAGCCTTGGCTTGATTAGTCTTACTCTTGACTGGGAGATGCTCACTTCCACGACCCGATCTTGCGTGCTCATTTCTCCCTTTTGATGGATGCTTAAGGTCTTTCCCGCTGGATTCGACCGTCGTGCGTGTGCAACCCCCCTTCTGGTAGAAGAGCAACCATGATCCTTTCGGACCGGCTCTTGCCTAGAAGAAGGGTCGCATACGCGTTCCGGTCCTGCAAAAACACGAAGCATCATCCCCCCTCCCCTTTCCTTCTCGGGTTTGCAGCGTGATAGTTATGCGCACTAAGCCTGCGACCTGTCCTCCTGATACCTGCGCTTCGACCTTTGGTCCTAATTAGAAGCGCTCTTGATGGATGACTGATCGCACTTACGTTCCTTTTTCCTCTCCGTTGTTCTGCACTTTTTTCTGTTGACGAAGCGGATGATTTCCCCCCCCCCCTTTTTTCAAACACATATATATATTGTTTTTTTTCAATTACAACGGTTGGTATGCGACCTTCCTCCCAAGACAGGATGCAGCCTTGGCCTGATTGGTCTAGCTCTTGCCTGGGAAGACGCTCGCATATGCAGCCCGATCTAGCTTGCTCGTCTCTTTTACTACCCCACCTTTGATGATTACTTAGGATCTTCCGCGCTGGTTCGACCGAGATGCGTGTGCAATCCCCCTTCTAGTAGATGAACGACCATGACCCTTTCGGCCTGGGTCTTGCCTAAAAGAGGGCTCGCATACGCATTTCGATCCTAAATGGGTGCTTCTCCCCTCTCCCCCCTCCCTCCCCCCACTACACACCTGTTTAATGCCATGATCACAATGCACTTAGCGCACATTGTTGTGTTAGATCAACAGTTTCGTGTGAAGCGATCCTGTCCTTATCTGGAGAGACACTCGTATACGGGCTGATCTGGCTTTCACTTATGATATTTATTGAAAGTCGTCATAATGTGCATAATG